AATATACTCAGCGGAGTATATACATAAAAAAATATATAATTCAAAATAATGTTCAATTAATTATAAATAACATATGTGAGTCCAACTTTGGTTTGCAGTTCTGCTGAAACTGGGTGCTTATTTCAAACAATTGTGCACTGGTAAGTGGCACTGATGGGCATTGACAGGCATCACTGGTGGGCATTCTCAGACATCACTGGTGGGCACTGAAAGGCGACACTGGCAGCATTCATAGGCGTCACTGACTGGCACTAATAGGCGTCACTGACTGGCACTGACAGGCGGGATTGATGGGCAATGACAGGTGGCACTGATGGGCTACACTGATCATCAGGGCACTGATCATCAGGGCCCTGATGATCAGTGTAGATGTCCCCTCTGAGGAATGCAGATTACCAGCTCTCCTCTCCTCACGAGCTGTCAGCGTGACAGCTCATGATTAGAGAAATGCCGATAACCGGCATTTCCTTATTTACATGTGATCAGCTGTGATTGGACACAGCTGATCACATGACAGAGCCGAAGTCATTGGCTCTTTCTGCTGATCAGTGATCCGCTGTGTCCCAGGGACACAGCGCACCACCGATCGCCGCGCTGTGTGCCCCTGGGGGAGCGCACGTACGGTTAGTGTAGGAAGACATCATATGACATCCTCCCAGAACGAGAGAACCACCTTGTGCCCATCATTTCCTTATATGGCGGGCGGGAGGCAGTTAATCCATTGACAGCTTGTTCACACATATTTTGCATATTTTTTATTTTCATTCACATGGTACCAATTCCACTGGTTGTTTGTAACATGGGAACCTTCTTATCTGCCATAGCCCTCCCCCCCATCTTTCCCCATTCCACCCACCAATAAGTACTGACTCCTGTCTAATGTTTCTACCCTATTATAATCTAATTCTCTCCCTCCCCCCCCTCGATCCTAGTTTAAATACTCCTCCAGCCTTTCCATAAACCTCTCCCCCAGCACAGCAGACCTCCTTTCATTTAGGTGCAAACCATCTCTAGCATATAGGTTGAAAAGTCAGCCCAGTGCTCTAGCATCCCAAATCCTTCCCTCTTACATCAGGTCTTCAGCCATGAATTGAGTTCTCTAATCTCCCCCTGTCTTTCCTGAGTAACACATGGCACAGGTAATATTTCAGAGACTATCACCTTGGAGGTCCTTCCCTTCAACTTGCAGCCTAGTTCTTTAAATTGATTCTTAAGGAGCCTCCACCTTCCATGTATTCTGTCATTGGTTCCAACATGGACCAAGACAGCTGGGTCATGCCCAGCCCCTCCCAGTAATTTATCAACCCGGTCCACCACATGCCGAACCCTGGCACCAGGGAGACTGCAAACCATGCGGTGTGATTCTGGTGACAAATTATTCTATCATTCCTTCTGATTAAAGAATCCCCTAGAATTCTTGCACTACCCTCACCACCCCTTCTTAGATGGTCTGCCCTCCCGGCTGTTAGGGATAGCAGTGACATCCAGGGTTGCCACCCCCACATCTTCACCCAACTTGGCAAATCTATTTGGGTGCACACACTCAGGGCTGGCCTTCCTTTTCTGCGAACCCCTACCAATCCCTCTCGTTACAGTAACCCATCTTCCTACCTGATAATCCTTATTAGCCCCTCCGCTCTCCACATCAATCCCATTAGCTACCTGCTCAGAGAGCAGGTTGTTGGTTGTGCCCTCGTTGCAACTTGCTCCTCCAGATCTCTAACGCGAGTTTCCAGAAGGGCAACCTGCTCACATCTGTCGCAGCAGTATCCATCCTAGAGCTGTTGCTCCACTGCTGCATACATGCGGCACACTGTGCACTGCACAAAACCTTCCACCCTGCTAGCAGACATTATCCCAGTTACAATATTAATAGGAAATATCAGTTGTCACTTACAGGTTAGTAGACTCCTGTTATAATCTCCTGTTTTCCACTCCAGTTTTTTAACTCCATTTAGTCAAAGGTCCGGCAAGCAAAATACAGGCAAGCTCAGAGTGAGCTGTACAGCAAGTTATATAGACTCTTTATCACCTGTGACCAATTAACTCCTCTCCTTAATTACCAGACTGAAGGAAGACACGGAAAGGAAGAAAAATAAATGCTATTAAAAAAGTGATTTAAAAAAGTAAAAGCTTTTAGCAAAACCAAAGATGAAAATTTCCCACTCTTTTTAGCTATCAGCCAGCAAAAAATGCCAGAGCGTTTGGGGCGCATGTCTTTGCATGAGCCTTCGCTAGGTGGTTATCTAGCAGCTGACATGGAACAGAGGATGGCTGCACCCCTTCTGCTCCTTAGCAACAGTTTCTGCACTGATTAAGGTAGTGAGTACCCCCACAGGGGTTCTCCTCACTTCTATGGTAGTGTCAGTGCTCCCAGGTATGACCAGAGGTGTGTGACTGAAGCAGGGAAACGCAGACTTCAGATATGTGATTAACAATGTAATTTATTAACACTAACAATACAAACATAAACGCAGTGCAATACTAAACATAATACAGTGCAAACAAACCCAACCAACCACCCACAGATAACAGTACATACAAGCAAGCGTCGTCAGGCAGGCCGAGTCAATATCAATTGGGCAGGTAGGTACAGGGGGAGCAAGCGGAGAATGGTCGGGGTCACAGGCCAGGTTCAGCAGGTAGCAAGCAGCGTAGTACAGAGGGTCAGGCAGAGGGATGGTCAGGGTCACAAGCCAGGGATCAGAACAGGTAGCAAGCAGCGTAGTACAGAGGGTCAGGCAGAGGGATGGTCAGGGTCACAAGCCAGGGATCAGAACAGGTAGCAAAGGAACAGAAACAGGATGCAGGACAGATACAGGGCCCAGGACAAACAACACCAAGGCAGAGTCTGCAAGTCTGGCCATCCCTTAAATACACCAGTATCATCAGTTCCAGGTGTTAGCTGGCTGAAAGGTTGAGTCTCTGATTGCTGGGAGCACCCGCTGGCCAGCCCTGGTACTGCAGATCAAAAGGCAGGTGAGTCCCACCATTGCTGGCCAGTCCATTCCTGACAGTACCCCCCTCTCAAGGAGCGGCCTCAGGACGCTCCAAACAGTCCTAGCTGGGAAAAATGTTCCACCGCCCGGGTCTGGTAACTGGCGGGATATCAAAGACTGGCACACCGGGCAGGACTCCGGGCAGCGGTACACCGGGCAGAGGCACATCGGGCTGGACTCCGGGCAGAGGCACACCGGGCAGAGCCACACCGGGCAGAGGCACATCGGGCTGGACTCCGGGCAGAGGCACATCGGGCTGGACTCCGGGCAGAGGCACATCGGGCTGGACTCCGGGCAGAGGCACACCGGGCAGAGAGGCACACCGGGCAGAGGCACATCGGGCAGGACTCCGGGCAGAGGCACATCGGGCAGGACTCCGGGCAGAGGCACATCGGGCAGGACTCCGGGCAGAGGCACATCGGGCAGGACTCCGGGCAGAGGCACATCGGGCAGGACCCCGGGCAGAGGCACATCGGGCAGGACCCCGGGCAGAGGCACATCGGGCCACCAGGCGAAGCGTCAGGCACCGGGCCCCCGAGCGGAGCGTCAGGCACCGGGCCCCCGGGCGGGGGCGACAGGCCTCGGGCCCCCGGGCGGGGCGACAGGCCTCGGGCCCCCGGGCGGGGCGACAGGCATCGGGCCCCCGGGCGGGGCGACAGGCATCGGGCCCCCAGGCGGAACTACAGGTCTCGGGCCCTCAGGCGGAGCGGCGGGTGCCGGACCCCCAGATGGAGCGACAGGCCTCGGGCCCCCAGGCGGGGCGACAGGCATCGGACCCCCGGGCGGGGCGACAGGCATCGGGCCCCCGGGCGGGGCGACAGGCCTCGGGCCCCCGGGCGGGGGCGACAGGCCTCGGGCCCCCGGGCGGGGCGACAGGCATCGGGCCCCCAGGCGGGGCGACAGGCATCGGGCCCCCAGGCGGAACTACAGGTCTCGGGCCCTCAGGCGGAGCGGCGGGTGCCGGACCCCCAGGTGGAGCGACAGGTCTCGGGCCCTCAGGCGGAGCGGCGGGCGCCGGACCCCCAGGTGGAGCGACAGGTCTTGGGCCCTCAGGCGGAGCGGCGGGCGCCGGACCCCCAGGCGGTGCGACAGGTCTCGGGCCCTCAGGCGGAGCGACAGGTCTCGGGCCCCCAGGCGGGGCGGCGGGCGCCGGACCCCCAGGTGGAGCGGCGGGCGCTGAACCCCCAGGCGGAGCGACAGGTCTCGGGGCCCCCAGGCGGAGCAGCGGGCACCGAGTCACCAGGCACGACAGTGGGCTCCGAGTCAACTGGCATGACCGCTGGCACTAGGTCAGACATTGGATCGTCTGGCTGGACAGCGGGCATCGGGTCACCAGGCATCAGGTCATTTGGCTCGACAGCGGGCACCGTGTCATCTGGCAAGGCAGTGGGCTCCGAGTCAACTGGTATGACCGCGGGCACTGGGTCAGACATTGGATCGTCTGACCGGACAGCGGGCATCGGGTCACCAGGCATCAGGTCATTTGGCTCGACCGCGGGCACCGCGTCATCTGGCAAGGCAGTGGGCTCCGAGTCAACTGGTATGACCGCGGGCACTAGGTCAGACATTGGATCGTCTGGCTGGACAGCGGGCATCGGGTCACCAGGCATCAGGTCATTTGGCTCGACAGCGGGCACCGTGTCATCTGGCAAGGCAGTGGGCTCCGAGTCAACTGGTATGACCGCGGGCACTGGGTCAGACATTGGATCGTCTGACCGGACAGCGGGCATCGGGTCACCAGGCATCAGGTCATTTGGCTCGACCGCGGGCACCGCGTCATCTGGCAAGGCAGTGGGCTCCGAGTCAACTGGTATGACCGCGGGCACTGGGTCAGACATTGGATCGTCTGACTGGACAGCGGGCATCGGGTCACCAGGCATCAAGTCATTTGGCTTGACAGCGAGCACCGCGTCATCTGGCAAGGCAGTGGGTTCCGAGTCAACTGGCATGACCGCGGGCACTGGGGCAGACATTGAATCGTCTGGCTGGACAGCGGGCATCGGGTCACCAGGCATCAGGTCATTTGGCTCAACAGCGGGCACCGCGTCATCTGGCAAGGCAGTGGGCTCCGAGTCAACAGGCACGACAGTGGGCACCGGGTCATCAGGTACCGGATTGTCTGGCTCGACAGCAGGCATCGGGTCACCAGGTATGACAGCGGGCACTGGGTCACCAGGCATCAGGTCATTTGGCTTGCCAGCGGGCACCGCGTCATCTGGCAAGGCAGTGGGCACCGGGTCACCAGGCATTGGATCGTCTGGCTCGACAGCAGGCATCGGGTCACCAGGTATGACAGCGGGCACTGGATCACCAGGCATCAGGTCATTTGGCTCGCCAGCGGGCACCGCGTCATCTGGCAAGGCAGTGGGCACCGAGTCACCAGGTACGACAGCGGGCTCTGAGTCAATTGGCACGACAGCGGGCACCGGATCAGGTACCGGATCATCTGGATCAACAGCGGGCATCGAGTCAACTGGCCTAATAGGATCGTCAGGCTGGATCAGTTCATCATGCTGGGTAGAGGCATCAGGCTGAATGCCGGCGTCCGGCTGAGTAGAGGCTTCAGGCCGAGTAGAGGCTTCAGGCCGAGTAGAGGCTTCAGGCCGAGTAGAGGCATCAGGCCGAGTAGAGGCATCAGGCCGAGTAGAGGCATCAGTCCGAGTAGAGGCTTCAGGCCGAGTAGAGGCTTCAGGCCGAGTAGAGGCATCAGGCCGAGTAGAGGCATCAGGCCGAGTAGAGGCTTCAGGCCGAGTAGAGGCATCAGGCCGAGTAGAGGCTTCAGGCCGAGTAGAGGCATCAGGCCGAGTAGAGGCATCAGGCCGCGTACAGGCATCAGGCCGAGTACAGGCATCAGGCCGAGTAGAGGCTTCAGGCTGAACCACGGAAGGCAGGCTCACCGGTTTGGATACTGGCAGGATGGTATTGGTTGGAAAGAATTTTCGCTTTTTTTCTGGTTTTAACTACTGGAGCACTGCAAGTAAACGCAGGTCTGCAAACGAATGGAGCAGCTGGAGACAGAGAAGAGCTGGAGGATGGGACAGAGGAGGGAGCAGTTGCTACAGAGGGCTTTTTTACAGGGTTAAAGGCAGGATAGGTGCAGCGAGTGGGAACAGGGTACTGACATGCGGTAGATAGCCAAGTATACTGGGCTGTAACTGGAGGAGCTGTTGGGAATACAGGAGTAGAGTTAGAAGCAGGACTGGGTTTTTGTAAGCTGACTGAGGCTGGGTGCAACAAGTCTGTCCATGTCTGCAGTATGGGTTGAACAAAGCTGAGCTTACACAAAGCCTGTCTGGTCAATGACTGCACTGCGTTTATACAATCTCTTAGTGTCTGTGGTGAACATGTGGAATAACGCTCCAGAAAGTAACCCACATCATCCTCTAATAACCACACCAGGGACTCTACCTGGTCTGCACTAAATGGTGGCAAAAATTCATCCCTGCATTCGGGGGAACCAGATGAAACCAACTCTGCACAAACCTCAATCAAAGGCTGCACCTCAGAGAACTCTGTGCCCTGATCTACTAGAACATGAGCGAGCCGTATACATTCTAGCAGTTCATCCCGGGTATACTCCTTCAGAGTTTGATAAGCATACTCCCTGTCATCAAAACACTAGCAGATATAAATACGCAACCTCATCCAGATCCATCCTTCCCATCAACAAGCCAAGATGGCTTCCCTGTGCAGCCACTTCTGGTCAGGATTGGCCTTGGTGTAATGTCAGTGCTCCCAGGTATGACCAGAGGTGTGTGACTGAAGCAGGGAAACGCAGACTTCAGATATGTGATTAACAATGTAATTTATTAACACTAACAATACAAACATAAACGCAGTGCAATACTAAACATAATACAGTGCAAACAAACCCAACCAACCACCCACAGATAACAGTACATACAAGCAAGCGTCGTCAGGCAGGCCGAGTCAATATCAATTGGGCAGGTAGGTACAGGGGGAGCAAGCGGAGAATGGTCGGGGTCACAGGCCAGGTTCAGCAGGTAGCAAGCAGCGTAGTACAGAGGGTCAGGCAGAGGGATGGTCAGGGTCACAAGCCAGGGATCAGAACAGGTAGCAAGCAGTGTAGTACAGAGGGTCAGGCAGAGGGATGGTCAGGGTCACAAGCCAGGGATCAGAACAGGTAGCAAAGGAACAGAAACAGGATGCAGGACAGATACAGGGCCCAGGACAAACACAACACCAAGGCAGAGTCTGCAAGTCTGGCCATCCCTTAAATACACCAGTATCATCAGTTCCAGGTGTTAGCTGGCTGAAAGGTTGAGTCTCTGATTGCTGGGAGCACCCGCTGGCCAGCCCTGGTACTGCAGATCAAAAGGCAGGTGAGTTCCACCATTGCTGGCCAGTCCATTCCTGACAGGTAGACATCAGATAGGTAAATAGAATGAAGGAGCAGGCCAGCACACACTGTGAACAAGGCCATGATAAGGTTATTCAGGGCTAAATCTTCTCTTGATTCTACTGCCCTCTTTATTGCTTATATCAATATGGCAGTGAGATCTTGCAAGTTTTCGGTGGTGATCTGCTACTCCTACGCATACGCAGGATTTTGCAACCAAATTTCCAGTAGTGCTAATACGCTACTGAACACTTGCAAGATCTGCCGCCATATTGTAATACTAGAAATATGGTGGTGAAATCTCGCATGCATGGGATTTGCTGTACATTACTGGAGTGTTCTTTGCAATGGGGGGAAGGGGAGTTAGCAGAATGGGTTGTTGGCAGAGACCCGGGAGCTAAAGTTTGTACTGGCCAAGGGTAGTTCCATGTTCCATGTGTTCATGTAACATGTGTTAAAGGGTGAAAGCCTTTAAAGTGGTTGTAAACCTCAGACATGACATCTAAACAAGCACATCCTTCTATACTGTGTACTTGTCTCCATCCAAAGCACTGAATACCTCATTACTCTGTTATGTGTATGAGTCACTTCTTACAGCTTTTCCCCTGACACCAAGATACAAATGGCAGTGGTGAAAGAGAGCTCCAGCACACAGCCTGTGATTTACAGCCTCATCTGTGCTTGTTCTCTGTTTAGTATAAGTGGGGAGTGTATGCCTTTAGATTCAGAGCTCTTCTCCCTAAGCTGTGCAGTGTGTGAATTCAGATCCGCACCCCCTGAGATGCTGAGAGATCCAGTGTAAATTCTGTGTGTTGTAGAAGGCTATGGAGGACAGACGGCTGCTGATAAACAGGTACAACTTCATGTAGGAGGATTTGCTTCATATCTGTGTATCACCTGAGGCTAGTTGCTCCGCTGGTTATATACAGTAAGGAACAGAAGTATCTGAACACCCTGCAATTTTGCAAGTTCTCCCACTTAGAAATCATGGAGGGGTCTGAAATTCACATTGTAGGTGCATTCTAACTCTGAGAGACAGAATTTAAATACAAAATTCAGGAAATCACATTGTATGATTTTTAAAGAATTTATTTGTCTTGCACTGCTGAATATAAGTATTTGAACACCTGAGAAAATCAGTGTTCATATTTGGTACAGAAGCCTTTGTTTGCAATTACAGAGGTCAAACATTTCCTGTAGTTCTTGACCAGGTTTGCACACACTGCAACATGGATTTTGGCCCACTCCTCCACACAGATCCCCTCTAGATCTGTCAGGTTTCGGGGCTGTCGCTGAGAAACACGGAGTTTTAGCTCCCTCCAAAGATGTTCTATTGGATTTAGGTCTGGAGACTGGCTAGGCCACTCCAAAACCTTGATATGCTTCTTACGGAGCCACTCCTTGGTTATCCTGGCTGTGTGCTTCGGGTCGTTGTCATGTTGGAAGACCCAGCCACGACCTATCTTCAATGCTCTGACTGAGGGAAGGAGGTTGTTGCTCAAAATCTCACAATAAATGGTCCCATTCATCCTCTCCTTAATACAGTGCAGTCGTCCTGTCCCCTTAGCAGAAAAGCACCCCCAAAGCATGATGTTACCACCCTCATGCTTCACAGTAGGGATGGTGTTCTTGGGATGCAACTCATCCTTCTTTTTCCTCCAAACATGACGAGTGAAGTTTAGACCAAAAAGTTCTACTTTGGTCTCATCTGACCACATGACTTTCTCCCATACCTCCTCTGGATCATCCAGATGGTCATTGGCAAACTTCAGATGGGCCTGGACATGTGATGACTTGAGCAGGGGAACCTTCTTTTCAATACATGATTTGAAACCATGACGGCGTAGTGTTCTACCGACAGTGACCTTTGAAACTCTAGTACCAGCTCTCTTCATGTCATTGACCAGCTCCTCCCTTGTAGTTCTGGGCTATTTCCTCACCTTTCTTATCATCAGTGATACCCCACGAGGTGAGATCTTGCATGGAGCCCCAGTCCGAGGGAGACTGACAGTCGTCTTTAGCCTCTTCCATTTTCTAATAATTGCTCCAACAGTTGATCTATTTTCACCAAGCTGCTTGGCAATTGCCCTGTAGCCCTTTCCAGCCTTGTGGAGGTCCACAATTTTGTCTCTGGTGTCTTTTGACAGCTCTTTGGTCTTGCCCATGGTAGTAGTTGGCGTCTGACTGACTGTGGGGTGGACAGGTGTCTTTAAAGAGCTCAGACAGGTGCTACTAAGTTAGATTAATGAGTGGAGTAGAGGTGGACTTTTTAAAGGCACAGTAACAGGTCTTTGAGAGCCAGAATTCTTGCAGTTTCTTAGGTGTTTAAATACGTATGTTCAGCAGTGCAAGACAAATTAGTTCTTTAAAAATCATACAATGTGATTTCCTGAATTTTTTTTTAAATTCTGTCTCTCAGAGTGGGAATGCACCTACAATGTGAATTTCAGACCCCTCCATGATTTCTAAGTGGAAGAACATGCAAAATCGCAGGGTGTTCAAATACTTCTGTGCCTCACTGTATATAGGTTTACAGCTACTTTAAGTACTATCGAGGAACAGGTGTCATCCTTGGTAGTACTCCTTGCTACCAATAATTATTTGGTACTTACAATTTATTCAGGGCATGTTGCTCCTTCAGTATCTTTTCACGTTCGTGTTTGGGATCAGAACTTCTGTAGCCTTATACAGATTTTGTTCCTCCTGATACTTCTGTGAGGTTTTTAAAGCACAAAAGCACAGGCTTTTAGTGTCTTTAGTGCCCTCCACCTGTAAATGGTAGCATAAATTATATGTAAAACGGATGTGACTATGTGTCTCAATTCGCAGAAGAAAAATAAATCTTGGGACACATGTGCGGGTAGGCGCGTTTGCAAGGGCAGAGCTGCCAATTCATTTGCATACGCCAAAAAAAGCCATGGTTTCCGAGCGCAGCATGTTTAATCTGCGAGTTGGAGACGTGCGTGTTTATGCATGTGTTTCCGACCTTCACGTATGTAAACCAAGTGTATTGGTGAATAAACTGGAAAATGCAGAGGTATGAGTTTAACCTGTAAAGTAGGTAGGTGAGAAATATTTACTTAAAATTTCCAGTCATTTCGATGTAAAAGTTTTTATC